CTCCCCCCCCCCTCCCCCTCCATCCCTTTAAAGCGCCAGGAAAATCTTGATGATGACATATATTTTATTGTGACCACTATGCCGTAATAATCACCTATATAATGTGTATACTAAATTTATTTATGGAATTTTTCCCCAAACGCTTGCTTTTCTTCCCGCCCTTTATATTCCTTTTCATCACCATCATGATGTTTAATTTTGTGAGTATAATGTGTGTGTGTGAACTTGTGCATACTTTAAGTTTCTCCTTGTTCTACTTGGTAAAGACTTCCTTGTGTGCGAGTCACTCTTCCCACTGTTTTTCCCTATTAAATTACTGTGCGATATTGTGTCAAGGAGTTATTTTTGCTATTGGTGTTTGGAGGGAGGGAGGATGGAAATAGAACCCTGAGAATAAAGGGGAGTTGCTTTTATATATTTGATTTAAAAGGGTATTTTCAGATGTAGGCAAGGCCGAGATATGTTAATTCGGCATACGCTGTTCACACGGGGTTTAATACTGCGAAAGAACTGTAGGGTTTTTCTGGTCAGAGGGTAGTGTGGCAGGTAATGTTCAGGTCCGGGGGTACCTAACAGGAGAAGGAATTTCCTCCTCGAGACCATAAGCTATTTTTTTCAATTTGAGATATCTTTGTTAGCACGAAACTGACTCCTGGTGACTTGCCAATATACGATGGCAGCCTAGCTTCCAAGACAAGCTTGTCGAGGTTGCAGATTTTGGCTTTCAATGGCGAAAGTTTGCATTCACTTCCCAAAATTATCATTTTATCAGCTGTTTTTCGAATTCATCTGATCGCGGAAGAAACAATGCACCGCAATTAACCACGTGTGGGGGGGGGCTCTGGGAGTTGCGAATTTCGTAGAATTTATTGCGACATATCTTTCCTTATTGAGTTTGTTTTAATTACATTGATTTATACTAATTTCGTACATCTAATAAATGAACGACTTAGAGATATAACAGCTAAGTTAGCACTAATGTATTCTGTTTAATCAATTTGAGTATATTTTCACTTACAGAAGTGCGGATTATTATTTTCAAAAGCTATTTTAACATTTTTAGGAGGAAATTAGAGTTCTCGCCATAGTAGTGGAAATATGCTTTGGAATGCCAATTAAAAAAAGGCTTGCAGAAAGGCTAGTTTGGTACCACTGCAGCGTGGCATCCAAGTGGGGTTGCAGAAGGCTCGATATCCTTTGCTATATTGAAATTGCAAGCCCGAAGGCTGCCTGTAGGAAAGCGTTGGCGCCTCGGCCACTAGAAGGAAATGTTTAGGAGTTTACTATCTACTAAGCATTTGCCACAATTCAGGTAAACACGCATCAATTTTGAATTTCAGAAAGGGAACTACTTATTCGATAAATATCGTACAACCCGAGTCCAAGAATTATGTGTCATGCCTTGATATTGGCCTCCATATCTGTTTGGTCCCTTCTCTTATTCAATGTCAACAAGTAAAAATTGCAATTTCTTTCTTATACTGTAGAAAGCAATGATAAGATAACAAGGATGAAACATAAGTGCTCCAAAGGATGGTACGGAGTTCATTTCATGTCCTAACACCTAGATGAACGCTGGTCCCCCATATAGATCTGCTACTCTACTGGCTAGTGGGGTCGCTAAGTTAGCCTGCTTTCAATTCTACAGCAGCAAAATGCTCCGATAGTGTAAATAGCAAACCTCGCTTGACGTTGAGTTTCACACTGACCCCATCATCTCAACGACCATCTTAATTACTTTGTCTTGTATATTCTTCCCATAGGTGTAGTACAGTGTTAATAAGTTATCAATAACGAGGATGGATTAGGACAATATCGAAGAAAAGTAGATATAAGGCTTGGTTGATGGGAATCAATATGTTTAACCCCAGTGCAAGCTCCTCCATAGAGCAGCTCAAATAACGGACTAACTGCAGAGAACCAGATATTTCACGAACGGAGACGACAATCGCAACTTAGGCTGTGCAGACAAACAGCAGTCTTATAACCACAGGATAATTTCATTTCACAATCCACTTGCCCTGAGCCAAGTAACTCTAAGAGGAACCTTCAAATTCACTAAATAGAAAGTAAATTAAAATCGATTCCTAACGATCGATTTCTCGTAGGTCCTCTGCCCTTGCAGATGACTAGGCGTTGCCAATCCAATATCAAAGCAACATAAAAAATAACACATAATTTGGGCAATTTAAAATCAAGGAAAAAAGGGGGATTAGAGCAGGGAGGAAAGAGAACACGAAGAGGGTGATTAGCACTAGTAATTAGAAGGAAGCTTATGGTCATTGGGGGACCAAAATTCCACAGGAATATCCTCACTCATATAAACGAGCAGGATGTTTACCACCGCCACAAAATGCCAATTTCTACACAATTGTATATCGTTCGGAGTGGAAATTGACTTCTGAGGAGAATTTTATTGGTTCTCCGTTCTCATCAGCAGCTTCCGTTATCTAAAAAAAGGAAAGCAATGATTTATTTTACTGAATATGAAACATTAAATCACATAATGAATTGAATTTTGATTTAACTTCCCTAGTTTATCGTAAACACTTACTACGTGTTTTGGGCTTTATAAAAAATGTATTACATCGATAGAAGACCAAATCGCTTGAGCTATCAGATAAACTCACGTCAGAGTTCAACAAAATGAAATTATGGCGTAGCCTCAGTGAGCACCTAGGCAGCCTTTTTAACGTAGAAAATCAAACATTGGACCACCACTCTACCAAGTTTGGTTAATTTGAGGGAGAGAAGGATTATGGGGCAGTCAGAATGAAGTTTTACATGACTGGGATTCCTCTTTCATTCACATCACGTGTTCATTTTATAATTCCATCGAGAATTCGGAAATCAGAAATCGTACTTTACAGAGTTCAGCAATTTTAAAGCCATTGAGTCTAGTTGGTGCCACGAATACTTAAGCAAGTCTAAAGGCGGAACTAACGTCACCAACTAATCGCCTTTGAAAAAGGTGAATATGGATACATGCCTTCCCTTACTAAAAGACAAAAGCTATATAGAGAACAATGGGGCCTGAATCAAGGGCTACAAACTGCCTAACCCGTTGCTTAGCACGACTTGTGAAGTAACTGTAATTAATAATTAACAGATGATCAATCTTCTTTCATTGCTTTCTCTAATTTCAACAAAATAGGAATTTATAATTCGCCAGTAAGTGCAGACACTAGACACATTCCGCCTAAAATCACAGTATACTGGACACGAACAAAGACGTGTTCGAAACGTTCTACTTGTTCAAACTCGAGTTCAAGATTAATCAATAGAGCCAGATCATGACCAATCGATCAAAGCGACCTCATTAAACTTTATTAGACATTGGAGCAGTAAAAGGAGGCATTACCACAACACCACAGTAGGATTGAGTGGAAGAGAAATCGACGCTGACAGGGAAGAATTGATCGGCTTTAGAGTTTTTATCAGTACGGATGATGAATTCCAGAGTACCGGTGTCGTTGTCAGCATCAACAAACGGTCGAGTCCAACGAATTTGCCCACGACGAGAGTCCACCTCGTAGTCTCCATCGCATTTACTCACAACTGGAGGCTTTAGACTCGGGCTGTTGATAAAGAAGGCAAAAAAGTGACATATTATTGAGATCGATCATGTAAAAACATTTATACTGGAGCAAGGGGTGTGCGATAGACTTACCTCCACGTGGTGCACCCTGGGCAACCTATACTCATACGGTAATAGTCTACAAACCGGAAGTTGACTTCTGACTCAAACAACTATGACCCCACTGTATATCATATTCGACCACTTCCGCAGTATTCATCTTACCTTTTCTCTGCCTTGTGTCTGTCTGCCTCTTTTACATATTTGAATCACTCTTCTGTTTCCCCCTCTCCACTTTTTCCACTTTGATGTAACTCCCCTCTGTGAAGCCTGAAGTCAGCTAAAGGGCTAATGATAACTAACATAACGCCTGCCAATTTCAAAATGCCTGAATTTGAAATAAATAAAAGTCTGTAAACTAAGACAACCACATACCCCACTGCCGGAACAATTTCTGCCTTAACTTCATCACCACAACCCCCTCCCCCTGGATTCTACAGACCAAACAATCCTTTTTGGTCTTCTAGATTATTGAGGGAATAATATCATTAAATTACATTATTTAGAAATACGATTTCTACTCTCCACTTTATTAGCCACGTTTAAGCAGTGAGCATTGGAATTGCTCTCACTGAAGAGCACTTGGGGGGCTGCCTCAAATCTGTGACCCAAAACAGATTTGTTACCACCTTTAATCTGTATATCAACAGAAATTGAGCTGAAAAAACAAGAATTCAAACTCACGGTAAAGGAATCGAGATGCACAGATTCTGTAGAGACAGTGATTTATCCTGCAAGGTGTGCTCGACGATAACTTCAAATCCGCCCGTGATATCAGAAGGCCAACAGTTGATAACAATGGGAAGGGCAGCCTCGTTTGTCGTTTGAGCACGCCATTTGAGCACAGCTACTTCCTTGTCTACTAGGAAAGCCTTGCCACCGGGCTTTATCGCCAGCCAATTGGTCGACTACAAGGTTGAAAAGAAATACAATTAGTTGTCCATCCACACTGAAAACAAACTGCAGAAATTGTGTAATGTTGCTACTACTGATGCCTATATAAGTAGCAAACTAACCTGGAAAGTGGGTTTATCCATATTTGGATGGGTTTGGAAAGAAGACGGGGGACGTTGTTCCGAGCCAGAAGTCGCCCCAGATAAATCCACACGAATGCGAGCCGTCGTGGAGCGCTCGTCAGCAGCTCGAACGTGGAGAATTCCACTAACTTCCAAAGATTCCACACCCCCATCTCGAAAGGCCTGAGCGGTCAAACGTTCCTCAAGTCTAATATGAAGGCTAAGAACACAAGAACATTTATTTATTTCAAATAGAGGGCTTTATGATACTTATCATTAATATATAAGCTGACTTCAGGTTTCACAGAGGAGAGGAACATCAAAGTGAGAAAAAGTGGAGAGGGGGGACAGAAGAGTGATTCAAAGATGTAAGAGACAGACAGATACAAAGGCAGAGAAAAGGTAAGATGAGTACTGCGGAAGTAGTCGAATATGACATACAGTTGGGTCATGGTAGTTTAAAGTTAGAAGTCAACTGCCAGTTTATGAATTTTTTGCCGTATGAGAATACGTTGCCCAGGGTGCACTACGTGGAGAAAAGTCTATCGCCATTTTAAAGTTTCCCAATTGTGTCCAAAAGACAAAACAAGGCTTATAGAGATCTAAGTTGACTCAATCAACTAGCACGGAATTTTAGAAGTAGTTCTAAGGGCGTCTGGCGGCAAAAACTGCCCTAAGGCTATCTAACGTGGAGACTAGATTGACCCTAGAAGCTATAATTGGTGAATAGCTAGCTCAGATGATCCTTCAGATAAATCCCACAGTTAAGCTTCAACGAAGACTTCGTCATTGATATGCATTGAAGTGCCCACCTTCCACTAAAATATATTTTCAAGCATCTAACAAGGACAAATAAGTAAACTCATCAAAAGCAAAAAATAGGGTAAATTTATCAAGATACCAAAATGGTCTGGGTTGATTAAAAGTCGCGGCTAAAAAGAATAACAAAGTCGTTCTCTGGATCTACTAGGACTATAGAGGAATTTGAATTAAAATTTTGAAATGAAAACTGCCAACGAGAAGGGAAATAATGCCTTAGTGATCATTTGAAGCCGACTTAGGCCAAGACGTATTGAAACCAATAGGAATTTTTTGATAGGCTCAATGACGTCTAATGACTGGGTAAATCTTCTACGGTTAATCACTGGTGGGGCAAATAAAGTCACGATTTACGAGCACGGAAGGGTAACTTTCCACTTTTAAAAAGCACCCTTTAATCCTACTTCACTTAACCTGCATTTAAACTTTACTCAATCCTACACTGCCATCTTACTTGCTCACTGGGTTAGGTCTATTTCCCATTTTGTATTTAATTAATATTTTAATCTGTCAGATAAATATCCATTTCCAGTAACTATGGAATGTTTTTCACAGCTTATAGGCACTAATAATTGTGATTCAAGAAAGTGGAACGTCGTCTAACATTTGAATCGTTTCACGCCCCACACATTTGGTCGATTCTGTTTGTTACATTAATTGGCAACTCAGCACCGTTTCAATACTTTCGATAATGGTGTTAACAAGATTGAATAGCAATTGAGTCTACGATTAAAATGTTACACATTTCTGCCTATACAGGATCGAACAGTCTGCAGCAATAAAGATGGGATTCACATGAAAGCATCTTTTTATGCAAACTTGCGTCTGGCATCGAATAAAATACGATTTCCTCGTAAGGAAGGTGACAATAAAACGCCAAGCAATTTTGAACCTTTGTTCAGAAAGAAACAGTTCCAATGCTTCTTGGCCATCTTCAAAAGTATTAAACCGAAATCGTTATCTTCCAACAATAAATTCCTAACATTTTAAGCTTCAAAAGGGTCCAAGTGTTCAAATTATGTTTTAATATGAACTTTAACTGAGTGATTTTAATAGCAGCGATTTAAACGGTAATTACGATTAACCCCAATGAGAAAACCCTATTCCATCATCGCCATCATGACTTATTTTCAACAAGGTGGTTTATGCATTTGACTGGTGATGAGCAAAATGAGATTAGAGCCAATGAACTAATACTTAATCATTGCACCAAGAACTAGGAGTGACATAAGGACCGTCTTTCGTCTTTTCAGTAAACCTTCAGATTTGACATTCCAATAAATGCATAAGACAGGATAGGGACTTACTTGTGCATAGGAACAGCTGAGGTATCAACAATATCGGTTTTGGAGCTGGTTACAAGCAGGGAAGAAGCAGGTGCTTCACTGCGAAGCATATCCGTCAACTTATCCATCTCCGATTTCATTTGACCACCCCGACCACTACCCAACTGCATTCCACGACCACGTGTAGAGACTTCTGGCTCTCTACTCGAGGAGAGTAAAGCTGCTGCATAGTCATCTAAAAGGAGAATGGAAGCAATTGTTATTTCAAAATTACCCACCATCTTATGGAAACCGCAACAGAACAAGAAAGTCTGTTAATCAGTGACCATTTCGACAGTACCTTTCCGTCTTGAAACTATTTGGGGCAAAATAATAACATAGGAAATTTTTCTATCATCTCGGATTACAAGAGGAAGAAAGACACTGCGCAATTTCTTAGCGAGATTGAGCATTTGAATTTTAACCAACTGATCGCAGGTACAATTTAAATTATTGTCCGCCGCTGATAACTAGGGAACCGCGCAGTAGACTTGCCTCCACGTGGTGCACCCTGGGCAACGTATACTCATACGGCAAAAAAGTCTATTAATCGGCAGTTGACCTCTGACTTCAAACTACCATGATCAGACTGTATGTCATATTCGACCACTTTCACAGTACTCATCTCATCTTTTTTCTACCTTTGTGTCTATCTCTTTTTCATCTCTAAAACACTCATCTGTTCCCCCCCCCTCTCGACTTTTAACTTTGATGATCCCTCCCATCTGTGAAGCCTGAAGTCAACGAAAGGTCTAATGATAACCATCAAGACGCCTGCCATTTGAAATAAATAAATAATTAGGGAACCACATTGTCCTCAAAAATATGAAGCAAAAGTAGTTAAAGAAATCTATCAGGCATGCACAGAATAACAATTATTAAACTAGTCAGATTTGAGCTTAAGCATCCGAAAATGATCACAAATTAAAATCAATTAAGGAAAATTGTAACAGTAAAATATCAAAGATATGAAAAATTATGCGTTCAATATGCATATCGATAGAGCTCAAAAGATGGCAAGAAGACAAAACATTTTCCGAGGTTAAGTTAAGAGATTGAAGTTGATAAAATGCAAGATCAAAAAGGAAGGAAACTTGAAAGCCATTCAATTTTTATGTAAGCCTACCAATAAATTGGACGAATAAAAATCAATCAAACGTATTGGAGGGAAACAGAAATCTTTGAGGGTAACCAATATGCGGAATTAATAATGTAAAAGGGATTCTAAGAGTCGAGTGCGAAATACAACAAAGAGAAACTAAAATAAGGTCTTTAAATGCATGCAATTAAATGGAATAAATGAAACAGGGTACAGGTTTAATAAAAATATGCAGACTATTAACCTACGAGACAAAATAAAGCATTTTGATTGAGAAATTCAATAAAACAAAAGAGCCTTTTCTTTAAGTCTAAATAAATGCAAACAAAAAATGTGCCTAGAAGAAAATAAAAATGGCACTATGTAAACAGATCATCAATATCAATTCCACAAAACATAACCAAACCCTTAACCAAACACTTAACATGGATAGGGAAAAGGTGTGAAAGAACCACTCAAGTAGAAGATATAACCAACACTACAAGATGGGCATTGACCTCAGGATTGAGGCTTAAACATTTACATTGATAACTGCGCCTCTTTACTTAGAAATCAAACCTACTATAATAATAGTAGATAATCTTTAACACCATAAAAAGCATTAATAAATAAAATTAAGATCGTACCAACGGAGGGTTCAACCCTAGGTCCCGATGATGCGAAATAGTCAGCAGCATTTCTCCCACTGGAAAAGCTATTATAAACTGAACTAGGTGGAAGGCCCTGTTTGGCTGCAGCTTGTCTTGCTAATTGAAGCTCGCGAGCTTTACGTTTAGACAACTCGCGCGCCTCCTGCATTTGGTTCTCACGAACAGCATTGAACATTTTCTCCTCATGTGAATCCATTTCTGTGAAGGTTCGAATTTGACTTAAGGTAACACTCTCTCGATAGCCAAGAGCAACAATCTCATCAAAAGCGAAGATTATTTGAAATGCGTTTTCAATTATATCGGAAGCTTCCGAACCACGTGCATACTCAGGAATTAGTCGGGCAAAAAGCCGAAGAGTTTCGAGGTCTTCAAGAATGTTGCTTGCTTTAGTGGTGATTAGAAGAACAATAAGTCTTTCTAGGGGTTGGTACACATAACGAACGGAATCGGTCTCAACGAATGTATGCTGCTTGCCTATTAAATATATGACGCTAAAAATACATCAAAAATTCTTACCAGAATCTGCGAGCTTAGGAAATGTCGCTATTAAGCCCTCGATACGAGATTTTGACATTTCCACAAACTGACGAGATACGAGAGCTATCAAGAATAATGAAAAATAAATATACTAATAGAATACCCTTTCCATCCTTCGTGCAAATTGCTGCTGCAAGTAGAACCTATTAATAATTACTGGTAAGAATAAAGGAATACAAATACCATGATGACGCTGGAGAACGGAAAGTGAAACGTCGACAACGAATGACCTCTAGAGAGAAAATCTACCGGTTTAGCATTTGTCAATATTAACGATAGTCCACATGTATGTGTAAATTAAGTATAATCATACTTGAGCGATTTACAAAATCAATTAGTAAAATTGACTAATAAATCAATTGTGAGTTAATTTTAGATCATTTGCAACTCCAACTATTTACCGGAATGATAAGAATTATGGAATATATTTGTCACTAGTATTTTTATAGAAGTCTTAAGTATCTCAGTTTGTATGGAATTTGTAAAAATATGCATTAATTTTTATAAATAAATTTAGTAAAAGACACACAATCTGTTTTATGATGTGAAATATTAGAAAATGTGCCATTTACAGTACTTTTACTCAATGAACATTTTTGTTATGAATGCATTCCATTTTATGCCTTAGAATCAAAAAAAATTTGCTTTATATGTTGTCACTTTTAGTACTCAGAGATTCCAACATTTAAAATATCGAAAATAGGAAAACTCGATCCTAGCTTTAATTGGAAAAGGTAATTGTTTTTGTCTCACGCGAATAATAATGAGTAAATCTTCTTGCTAATTCTTGATTCCCTCCATATCATACCAGATGAATAGTTCATCAAAATCCCCAAATCTTAATACTGGCCGATCCTTCGCTTTCAATGTATTTGTAATAAGATTGCTTTTCGTCTATTTTTAAATTATTCCAAAGCGAGTTGATTTTACTAACCAGATTTCTTTCATTTGCATCCTACTAACCAATATAACCCCGGCATATAGAATTCGATCATTGTTTAAATATAAACTGAATTCAAAAAATAGGCAAATCAAATGGTTTTATATGACAAATTCTTGCATAAATTCGAGTTTTATAAATATAGAACAAAATCCGACCAAACACTCACTGCTTGTAATTGTATTAATGCATCATTTGCGAAAGTACCTATTAGCTTTCAAAGTTATTTATCGTTTGTCAAAATGCATTACATGCATGGACAAACGCGTAAGCACCTATTCAATAATATTTAAAAAAATACCTGTGGTGCTATTTTAAGGCAACTATGCGCTTCCTCATTTACTGACTTCGAAATAGAAATGCTACATACATAATAGCAACTCGAACTAATAACATAGTTAATCTTCTTAAGAGTTCAATATTCGGCTACTTTTTTCATCAATTATGATAAATAAAACAAAATCTCACTGCTCTTATTTGTTCATAATGAAAAATTTAAGCAAATTAAATTCATAATAAATAAGTATTTTCCTAGACTAATTTTTCCGCGAGATTATGAAGTATGTGAGCAGTTGAGTCCGGTCTTTATGTTTTCTATTACTTGTGATTAACGTTCCAATATTTAAGATGGCTTGTGATAATACGAAATTATGGCGACTGTCACAAGAACCAAAATTAAAATTAGATCCTTCTATCTTTTCCTCACAAACCCACAACTGTATATTGCCTTCCCATACGAGTCAAGAATCAACCCATGCCAAAAATGGTGACGCTCCAGTTGACCCTTCTCCAGTTTCACATTTTGCTGGTAAATCATTTTACCAGTGTTCACCAGCCAAACGTTTTCCCAGAACAGTTCGGGATCAACCTGGTTAGTTCTAGTTTCCGATTTAAAAATAACGATTGTGCGTTTTCAGGCCCGTCTAGACAAAAACAGAGCGATTCTGATTCTATTATGTACTATTGTGAATTATGTCGAGTCAGCTGTGCTGGTAAAATATCCTTCGAGTGTCATTTAGCTGGTAAAAGACACAAAAAGATGGAGCTTACAAAACAAGTATGTTATTATACATTTCATTTTCTTTTACCATTTTTATCATAGTAATTATATCTTTTTGCGTTTATTATCTGGATAGCATAGAAAGTTAAGATTTTTCGCGTATTTATCTCTCTATCGAGTCCATGTGAAACCTTTCCCTTATTTTTAACACTATGATTGAATAGCCTAATATCGTCATGCCAGAATTTGTTTGCGTTTCCACACTTATCTCTTTTTTGGCCTTCAAATTCCAGTGATATTTTGTTAATCAAGCCATTTTATATATCAATCTTGTGCCATTGTGATAGTGACTGCCACCTTAAAATGTTACCTAATTTCCAAATTGACTTAACAAATGTAACAATTTTATAGGGTTGTATTTATTTCCAATTGTTGGTATTTAATTGATGTAATAAGGCCGGAAAAATTTTTTTTACGCTTAAAAACAATGTTTCTCATTTTTTTCTGTCCATAGGTTGGCCGGTAATAAACCAGTAATATTCTTTAATGGTTGTATTTTAAATTTACTCTCTCCTCTTGAATTATTCGATCAACTGGGTTGTATGACAAGCAATAATCGATTGCACGTTTACATTCATATATTTTACATTTTTTCCGCGGTGTTTTTTATGTGGATTTATTTTACATTTTCGGGGTAAAAACTATTAAGTTCTGCTCGCTACAGTCACATTTTCCTTATTAATCATATTACTCGCATTCACGTTATTCTATTTTTATCTATTTTTGCTTTTCTTTAACCTTGAGTTCAGATTGTTCTCTTTATTAAGATCCGTTTGCCGTGTACTCTGGCATTATTGGATTCAATTTAAATGTGCAAGCAAGAATTAATTTCCCTTTTTTAGTAACGCTTTCTATGGACCAATTATTAATATATTTCTGCAAAAAAATGTGTAATATTGGTTGATGGCGAGGAACTGCAAACATTATATTTTAACATAACGATATCTCACTAGATGAAACACTCTATTTGGTATTAGCCACAATTCGTTAGCAATACCAATCAATCTGTGTTGATATTATACTTTGAGAAGGATTGGATTGAATTTGTCCACTAAAATTCTTGTATTCGCAGCACACAATGTGGCAATCACTCCTTTCGTTTTATAAATTTGCTATTTTTTGTTTGAAGACGGTTACTTTCGTTTAATCCAGATAGTTCTTGTGGGCCTATTTCTACTTAGTAGTTCTGATGCTTGGATCGTAGAATAAGCTTCTCGCACGTCTTTTTATTTAAGAGAGTTTTAAGTTTGTTGCCATTGGATAACATTAAAACTGCTCCGGTAATCACATAATACAGGTCCGTTTCCATGACTATACCAATCAACCAGTAAAGTTGGCTCTTAATTACATGGCCATTTTATGCAATGATTCAAACTCTTTTACCCAATGGTCTAGATCCGCATATTATTTGGAAGGGCGAGGTTGGACGATTGATATAGGTAAAGTTTGCTGCTTATTTTGAGTTATTATGAGTTATGTAATTCGATTGGTGTTAATAGTCCGCTTAAATCCGAGCATTATCTGCTTTTATCGTTTGGGTGGGGGGGGGGGGGGGGGGGGGGGCGAANGGGGGGGGGGGGGGAGGGGGGGATCGAATAAATGCGGATTTGTTGAGACTACTGTTTTGTTTCGCTTTACTGAGTTTTATGCTCTCAAGTTTTGCTAAAATGTCCCCCTTATTTTCTCTTTCATTATTAACTTACTTTTCGCTGTAGTCTACTGAGGAAGAGTGTAATCCAAAGGAAATGACCTGCTCTGTTTGCGATGTGAAGTGTTCCGGTTTGGAGGCTTACAATTCTCATTTGCAGGGCAAACAACATGCCAAGACAGTTAAACTACTGAAATCTCGAGGTTGCAAGATCCCAGATGTCAAGCCTCAAACCTCCTCAAGTGAGTTAGTGATGCATAACCAAGTTGTTTGCATATTTTAATATGCTGTTTTCCAGTGTCACAGACTTGAGCAGACGTATGAGATTATGCTACCTTTTATAGTATGCCGGTGGTGTAGTGGTCTGGATGCATTTTTTTGTTTAGGCTAGAACTGATGGGTCAGATTGGAAATTTTTTGTTTTAATTTTCAATGAATTGTGTTGTGAAGATGTCATTTTACTGCTCCTTATTTGTTGCTGTTAGTGTCGGTGCCTTTGGTCGTTCCAATCACTGGAGATCGGAGAACGTTTTAGTGGTAAAATTCAGCTTGATGGCCAAATTATTCCAGTGAAATTAGAATACATATACATGTAAGTTTTAGGTGGATTGAAGGATTAGCCCGCGATAACAATCAGAAGAGGTGGGTGTTGTCACCTGTTCTCCCAAACTGCAGTTTCATTTATGATAGCTAAGAAGCCAATGTGCATTAAAGGTGTGATTATCTTTCATTCACGCTTTGAGTTCCGACTTGTGATGAAGTGTTTCGAAAGACCATGTCCATGGTTGTTTTTTTCAACGGCTTATTATTTATGGATAAAATACTTTGAGATTGGTGGCTGTCATTTTTTTACAAACATCCGCCATCAAGTATCGTTAGCTGACAGTTGACTTGTAGTCACTTGCATATATACAAATTTCATTGCCTCTTACGTTTTTTTGTATTATTTGATCCCTAAACATAAAATGATGTTTATTTGTCGAATTAAATGTACACAAAACTCAAATCAAGGCAACAGGAACACTTCACTTTAAGAATCGTGGTCTTAATACATCTTGTATACAAGACAAGTCAATTTGAAGATGCATAATATCTATTAGATGTATGAAAGACTAAAATACAATAAGCACATAGTGGGAGTAAAAGCAGTCGGCTATCCTGGAGGTTACATTCCTCCAAAGCGACGTGGGGTTTTGGATGGATAAATATTTATATCCAACGGCAGGCTTTGTGATAGTTATCTTTCAGCATTTAGTTGATTTCGGACTTCACTGGGGGGGGGGGAACATCAAGGTCACAAAAAATCGAGGGAGAGTGGATCAGGAGAGTGATTCATAGATACAAAGGTGGAGAAAAAGGTAAGGCAATATGGGTACTGTGGAAGTCAACTGCCAGTTTGTAGACTTTGTTTGCCGTTTAAGTATACATTGCCCAGGGTGCATCACGTGAAGGTAAGTCTATGGTGCACACCCCTATTTGCAAATATCATGTTCTAGCCAATGGCCACTGGTATCTCATTTTGGTCAAATCTTGCGGGCTGGGTTTTTTGGATATGCTTCACATTCTGCTTTAGCAACGTGTTTGGTGGCCTGCATGATTGTTTGATAATAGAAGAAATTTACACTCCTTTAAAGCCAAATCCCCAAGTTCGCCGCCAATTTTTTTCCAATAATAATCAAATAAACTTTTAAATGGGAATGGGAGCCTATTTTACTCTTCTCTGTCAACTACACTGCACGATTATATTTTTAGCTAAGTTGGGCATTAATTTCATCCACTCTCGTGGTCATTAAACTTATGCCCTTTTTGGTATAATATATATATCTATATATATATTTTTTTTCATTTTCAGATCAATTATCTATGCCCTCCTCCAAAATCGACCCAGAAAATTACATTAAGGAGGTAAAGCAACTCGGACCATTTGATCCACTCTTCAAGCCCTCCCCCCTCTATTTTAAGTTGGTCTTCGGACTAATGCATTTTCTTTATTTTAGTTCCATTCGGGAAAAACTAAGCAATTCTCTTGTCTTCTTTGCAATTGCATTTGCACCAATAGTCAGCTCAAAGAGGCTCATTTAGCGGGCAAAAAACACCAGACAGCTTTGCGCAAACTCAAGGAATCCTTGGAAACCCCGACTGTTAAAGATCCATCTGATTCTAATCTCGAGCCCGAGATCCCCACTGAACATACTTCGGTTAGTAGTGGAAGTTAATCTATTTTTCATGCATGCCTATATAATTTGATTTTTAATTTATTAGAGCCAATGATTAGACGTTTTATTGCTATGCGTCTTCACTATACCACTACTAAGTTATTTTCCTGCACAAGCTCAGATTTTCAAATATTCGTTGTCAGTTCTCTTTATGCATAATTGTTTACTGTTTGCCTTGTGTGATTATTCCTTCTGGATTGGTTATCTTTATGTCTAGTTAGAGGGCCATCAGGTAGTTACTGTCTAATGCTTTTCATAGTTTATTTGCAAGAATAGAGCTTAGTCACAACTGGATAAAGGCTTTATTGAGGAATGCTAGTATACCTGCAGACTTGTAGTGTACCTCTTTGATAATTTATTCATTAATATCAAATGGCAGGCGTTTTGATAGTTATCATTAGCCCTTTAGCTGACTTCATGCTTCATAGAGGGGAAGGAACATCAAATTTTAAAAAAATCGAGAGGGGGGGGGGGACAGAAGAGTGTTTCAAAGATGTAAAAGAGTGACACAAAGGTTGAAAAAAGGTGAGGTGAGTACTGTGGAAGGGGTCGAATATGACATACAGTGAGGTGATGGTAGTTTGAAGCGAGAAGTCAACTGCCGATTAATAGACCTTTTTGCCGTATGAGTATACGTTGCCCAGGGTGCACCACGTGGAGGTAAGTCTATCGCACACCCCACCTCTTCGATAACAAATGTCAGACTATTCTGAGCATGGAGGGCTGTGTTGCATTGCCGTCGATTCTACGTCAATTTGCTTTCCACGTATTCTTACCCCCCTTTCCATATCATGAATGCGATATCAGACCGGAAATGTTACGGCTGGACGGACTCAGTGGGATTTTAGGAAGAAAAAAAATAATTAGTCCTTACTTCCTTGAAGAAATTATTTGAAATTGTAGTAAATGAAGAAGTTACTACAGCATGCTGAAAGTATATGTGGTTCATATTCTCCATCTCCAAATTTCCCACCTATTTTAGCTTGCGCAACCTGAACCAAGTTCCTCAGATTCTCATTCTCCAAGTACAGAAAGACCTCAGATACCTCCAACAGGATTTGCTCGGCCCCCAGGACCTCGTATGACTTCTTCACCTGGCCTGCCAACCTTAATTAGCCTACCTCCACATCTTCTTGCTGATGAGCGCTATATGCAGACGAAATTGAAGCATATTCTACCCTCAAAGGAAGAAAATGATGTAATTCTCCTTTTTGATTACTCTTCGTCAATTGATCCTGGAGTGGTAGTAGTAGTCGAAATAGCTAATTTGGGTCGTTAATTGAATGTAATGCCATTCGGAGAGCCTAATATCTTCCTGGGCATCGTCTAGAGTTTCGGTAGATGATATTTTGATTAGAATATATAAGCAAGTTTTTTGTCACTTATGCGATGTAAAACAGCAGAATAATGCAGTAATGAGCGAAACGCGGAATCAACCTTGCGTATATGGTTAAGCGTGTCTGGAAGCTGTTCAATTGCTCACAAACAGTATGATTCACTTTACAATATCCAATTGTTCGGACTACATGGTCATTGTTCGCTATCACTCTGGAGTTGGACGGTCTTGAGACAAGTGACCAGCCTCTCTCTCCTCTTTATCTGTACTCTTCTTGGTCTTTATTTAGGCATTTCATGCGTTTTATGGACTTTACGTTCTTCCCTATTTTCTTGATTTTTCTAAATGTTGTGTTCTAATGAAGATCAATTTTAAGAACTCTACCTACATTGGGTCATTTCAAGTAAGTCACTGTGTTCGTGGTGGTCTGATCTTCCTTCAAGCGTCTCCCGAACAATCCAAGACCCCAAGTAGTCTATGTTAACAGAGGACTCAAACAAATTTAGACAAGGAAAAGGTTTTGTGAGGATATTTAGTCTGAATTGTTGCTAATGGAAGTGGTATAATATATGCTGAACACCAATGCTCATAGGTCAATAAATCGATTCAAATTTCTGGTTGCTAAAATTTTATTTAAAGTAGTTATTAGATAGTCATCAAAATTATAGCATCCATACTCTAACGCATTGGGAACTACGCGCGGAGATTCGAAAATAATATCGCACCCCATCATGTTGTGTCAAAGTTCAGTCAAGTAATTTGAAACAATACCTTTATCGGTATTCTTAGAGATGTTTGTATAATTACCTGCATTCTGAATCCCGGTTTCCATTCGTTATACTAATTTAGCAAAAAGATAGCAAGGATAAAGTTAGACCGTTTGATTGAGTTATAGTTTTGGGGGAGGGGGTGTATTGTGAAAATTCTTCCATCCTTTCACCGTGTGCACTTCTTTGGTCATCAAATCTATGACTTTTAACTTCGCACGTGGGTATGTTAATTAGTATTTCATCAGTGAGCAATAGTTTTCGAATGAGTGTCTTTTGCCTAGCTAACACGAATTTTGTGCTCCCTGTTGCAGTTGATGGCCCTGACAGTTAATGCCGTATGCAGCGCCCTTCAGCAAATCTTTGGAGTTGGAAGTAGTAGTGTTGAGGATCTATTGACTTCTGACGAGCTCAGTGGAGTTTATCTGGTTGGACCTGTAGCTATCGGACTGCAGTTAAGAGGTCAACTGATCGCGGATGTTGTTTTGGTCATTCGACAGCCCCTCCTTCCAAATTATGCCGACAGGACGAGGATGGAGCTGGAGGGTTTGCTTAAGGTAAGTCCTATGTGGGTACCGATTAGGAATCGCGTAAATTAAAATGTTGCTTACTCTTAATTCATTCATATGCGCTATGCCCCATATATATAGTACGATTTTCACAAACATTCGCATCTCTCTCCCATTGTTCTTGTAGCTTTTCAATCAGTGTTTTTTTTTGAAGCAAAATATGGCGCAATACTTTTTCAAGTGGTGTTTTCGTATTCATTCGAATTAAAATCAGTAACATATGCAAAATTGATGAAGAGGAGGAGGAAATTCACATATCGCAGAGAATAGACAATTGTGATTACATTTAAGTTTTAGTCTAATAACACTTGGATAAGGGAAATTATGAAGGTTAAAGGTCTGAACAGAATTCCAAATTTTACTTTTATATTTGGATCGCAAAATGATGACCTTTCTACCTCTAAAATGGGGCGCGCGTTAGACTCACCTACACGGAGTGCACCCTGGACAACGCGCATTCATACGTCAAAAAAAATTTATAAATCGGCAGTTGACTACCATGACCCTACTGTATTTCATATTCAGCCACTTCCTCAGTACTCACTTCACCATTTTCTCTACCTTTGTGTCTGTCTGCCTCTTTTACAACTGTGATTTACTCTTCTGTTCCCCCTCTCTACTTTTTGTGACTTTGATGATTCTCCTCACCTCTGTGAAGCCCGAAGTTAACTAAAGGGCTAATGTTAGCCATCATTAGGTCTGCCACCTGTTGTGCCTAAATAAATGCCTCTAAAATGTCAGTCACCTGACGACTACAGATGGGATCCTCACCTAGACGGGGTCGTTTGAAAAGTTGCAGCAGCTATTTCAACAAAGACGCTTATTCCTGACAAAATGCAGAATGCAACTAGGGAGGATAAAAATCTGTCTTAAAAACACTACTGGCTATTGGTTAGGCTTTCTATATCATTTTCCGATGGCCTCTCTTTTCAGGTCATTATTTTCGCCTATATACTCGCTGAAGTGGTGATTGAATTTGAATTTTGCTTTTTTCTCCGTTTTGAAAATTCAAGTATGCCTTCAATTAGCTCAGTATTGATTTATATCGATTGTGAAATTTGACTTCAATTTGATCGACTTAACCTACTAGCCTTTGAGGGAGAATTGTTTTGTTGCAGTGTACTCGTTCCATGTATTTTAAAGCTACCGCCTCCCATAATTTTTCTTTGTGTTAAGAATTAAATGTGAATGCTCGAAGAAGAGGAAACGCTCCAGTTTTCAGAGTTTCAAACTTTAAATTGCCATCAAATTCCATATGTATGTCTTCTTTAGCATTCCTCAGTGTTAAATAGTGACATTGTAAATCTCGTTTAATAAGGGCTAGATCCCTTAAAATTGACTCCCCTAATATAAGTACGTGTTCTGGTAGCACCCATGGTTAATCTGTTTGAGCACTCAAGTTCAGTGTTTGCCGATGTGCTTCTTGTGGACTTGGCGTTATTTCTCAAGCTTCTGTAGAACTTTTATCATACCAGAGATCTTGAAAGTGATCCTATTCCTCGAGGGTGTCTTAATCGAATTCAATAATTAGGGTGTGGGGTGTGCGATAGACTTACCTCCACGCGGTGCACCCTGGGCAACGTATACTCATATGGCAAAAAGTCTATTAATCGTCAGTTGACTTCAGACTACCATGACCCCATTGCATTTCATATTCGAATAATTTCACAGTATTCACCTCACCTTTTTTCTACCTTTGTGTTTGTCTGTCTCTTTTACATATGTGAATCATTCTTCTGTTCCCCCTCTCGACTTTTTGTCACTTTGATGTTCATCTTCCTTTCTGTGAAGCCCGAAGTCAACTAAAGGGCTAATGATACCTATCATAACCCCTGCCATTTGAAATATATGAATAATTAGGGTGTCATTCTCTTAATTGTTGTCTCAATAAATTATGCTTTTTCTTTCTTTTACTTAAAGAAATGTTGTTACCTGTTCCAAACTTTGCCTACCTTAAATATGGACGATTTTGGTTTATTGTACATGCTCCACCAAAACACAGGCCTTACTTTAATCAGATTGGAATAGGTTATTTTACTTTAACAGAACTAATTGTTGTTTTTCACGTAACGCTTACTTAATGATAACTTAATTTGTTTAATTCGTCGAAACTTCCTAAGACTCTTGAGTTTGCAATTTTCGATGTCTATATTATGTGAAAACTAATAACCAGATGCTCGGGGATTAACATGAAAACCATTTTTTTGTATTTCAGATTGCGTGCGTAAATCATCGTATCACCGTGGTTACTGAAAAAGGGACTCAGCTGATCGCTGAAATTAGTCCAAATCCGTCATCTCCACAGCCTAGTACATCTACAGCACCTGAACCTCTTAATACAAGTTCTTCCTCTTCTGATCCCCCAGTTGCCAGAATTAGGATTAGCTTTGCTTCTTTGTACGTCTCCTCTGTTCCGAAAAGTGGGTCAAATGGAAATATTACATTTTACTACTTAAATTAGTGTTAGTAGCTTAATTTTGGCTTATTTTCTATCTAGACGTCGTTAGTACATATCAAGCGGAGGCAGAACACCATACAAGCCTTCCTGATGGGTTAATTAATTTACGACAAACGGCCTGGCTTCAGGTGTGTAATATAGATTGTGTAATAAGTATAATCACCATAATTATTATGTGTTGTGATTAATATTTGTGCCTTTTGTTTGATTCTGGATATAAAGAAAGCTCTCTCTGAACACCCGGACAAGACAGCCCTATTGAACGTGGCTCGATTGGTGCGGTGCTTAATTCGGGATTCCCGTCCGGTCCCTTGGGGTGAATTCCCTGATTATGTAAGTGATTTCATCCATTTGCTTTAGGTCGAGAACTATTTATTTAAGGTAGTCGTGAATACGGCAAACGCCTAAAATAATTGCAAAAAAATTCTGCATTTGCTGTTGTGTGTTGAAAATTTATTGAAACATTGACCCTGTTTTTAGCAATTAGGTGCTGTTCGGGTCTTTGATAAGGTGCATAATCTGCGCAATACTACAATATATATACTGCAATCACTCAGAATAGATCACTACCGCTTAAAATCGATTTGTCCACCTAATCGCCAAATTCTCCAAATGCCATAAAGACATCTCATAACTGAATTCCCTTATATATATGTATGATGTTTTTTTTTCCCTTTTAGAAAGTAGTATTGAAGTGATAGAAGTATGAGTAAATGAATCAAAGGTACCCCCGCAACTTCATCTTCATTATGACTAATTTTAAGGGCTATGGTTTCCGCAAATAATGTCATTTTTAAAGTATTTTTTAAACGGTTAATACATGCTATTCGGCAGTTTTATTGCCTTGTATTAAAACTCGACATTTCGAATCTTACTCCCATCTTTCTTACCTGGAAAACGCTCTATTGCTTCCTCAATAAATTCATATATTATAACGATCAGACGGTTGCTTCTGTCGCTCTTAGAGCAGGCAAAATGCATAGTAACCTGGTAACCGACATCCAAGCATGTGGATTACAGGCAGACTCCACTGATTTTGCTTTCCTTAATTATTTGAGTTCAAGAAAACACAAATTTGCTTCCACTCCCATTAAGCATGCAAGTATTTTTGGCACAAGATATGTCTTCACAACATCAGATGCCATTCGCATTCAGTGATTTATTATTTCATTATTCCTTTAACGTCTGACCGTTAGATTTTTGATCATTCACGATTGGAAAAAAATAATGGCTGCTGAAATTGGACTTCCTTTTACTCCAAAAAATGCGCTTCGTTTTAAGGCTGTCACAGAAATTTCACATCTATTTTTACTTGTTATAAATCAGTAGTATAATATTCGCACTTTCAGGTATTGCTTGTTCTTTTGGGCCATTTATCCTTCATGGATTTGCCACTTTCGAGTGGATATCGAAGTTCCGCTCTCCGTGTACGTCCAGGTCTACTCTTTCGTCGTCTTCTTGAATCTCTTGCCTCGGGTATTCTCATCGATCGTGACGGTGAGCTCTCTTCAATGTCTGACCGTCCTGGATCCGATCTCCTGCTGTTGGATCGAATGAAAGCGTCTGATCGAATCGCCACCACTTCGGCTGCTCAAGAAGCACTGCGTTTAGTAGCTTTCAGGCAGATTAATAAGGTGAGTCGCTTTACCTCCTTTCATGACTTTGCACTTTTCCCTCGCATCTATTACACTTCTGAATTTAAAGCTCTTAGGTGTAAATCGTGTGTCGGAAAGTAAGTACGTTAATTTCTAACAACACCACTATTGCCTTTACCTTTTTCATCATCTTCCTTAATCATAACGTTTAATTTCTCATTCTTATTTTGTTTAGTATTATACTTCCTCAGTTATTTGTTAAGGCTGCTCGTAAATTCTCCCATGATTTTATTTCCTTATTACCTTTAAGCGTTCAATACGTAATTGTAAATATTATAAAAAAGCTTTCATGCGTTCCTTTTGAGTAATGAAAAAATGTTTTTCTCTAGCGAACCTCAGAAGAAAAAGTTTTGCGGTTTGTTTCGTTGTGATAAAATGTCCTTAATAAGCAGAAGTATTCAATAATTTTATCTTTTTTTTAATGATCTCCACTGGAACTTGAAGAAAACTGGAAGGTAATAGATGATGGTATTTGGCCTTATGATCTATGGAATTTAGGATTTGCTTATTACTTGCCTCTGACTCAAGTGCGCATACAGGTGTTTTGGGCGAATTGCGGGTATTTTTAAGCCTATCCATGTATTTTCTTCAAGGTTGAGAACACAAAGTTTTGCTTGATTAATCAAAAATTTTGCTGTTCAACCACACTTGTCCATTTTTAGGCTTAAATTCTGTAATTAGACACTTGAAGTCTTTGCTGTTTGTCATATCTACTTTGAGAAGCATAACTTTTTATTACATTTATTTGTAGATGGGGTTCATGATAGTTGACATTTTTGGCTTCTTAACCATTGTTAGAGCAGTCGCATTAATGTCTCCTTTTGAGGTGTTATAGAACGTGTTTATTACACTTGGCATGGATACAGGCAAGGGATCCTAGAGCCTCTCTTGTGGAAAACTTGCATTCTACAACCTCGTTTGTCTCTTGCGTATGATCGGCACTTATCGATCCTGTGGACAGTGTGGCAATGCCCCTTAATGAAAGATCAGGAGCAGAGAGAGAGAAATAGGAAACGAATGAAAGACCTTTCTTAAATCAACCAGCATTAAACAATGATTTCTTGAATAACTGTCCATCGTGTTTGTTGTAGATGGAATTTTCCTTCAAATTCTTATACTGGAGTTTCCAGATGTCTAACATTTAGGGAATTATCTTCGATAGACCTAGAGAGAACTCAATCCAATTTGGTAACATCTAAATTGTGTCAAGTTATGCTGTGACTATCGGTGAAAATTAGAGTGGGAGTGGGGGGAGGGGGGGGGGAGAGTGTTAAGACCAATGGCTTATGGTATCCCTTATCCATATGCCTTAATATCACACCTCGTATCTGACTTCTGCGCTTTCAGGCTATCGGTACACTAGATTCGTTTTAGTCAAGACACTTTTAATTCAATCTCATGATAATAAATAACCTCCTCAATATCGATGATCCAGTGCCTTGGTTTCGATTAACTCGGCGGCATATTTACCTTTCAGCTCCTGGATCTACCCAGATTTGTACCACCTTATCAGCCAAAAAACGGGGTGAAGTCGCCGTCAACTACCTTGAAAACACAGAGTTCATTGGCGTCTTTGGGCAAACGGAAGATGAACGACAACGACGATGCTCTGAATGGGAGGAGTTGCGGCGAAGGTGGTGGCTGTGGTGGTGATACCCCATTCGTGGATGATCTACTCATTTCAACAAGAGTAATCAAACTTGATGAGGAAGGAAACCATGATATTGAAAATGATAGGAAGCTGGTTTGAGATGATTCGATTGTGAAAAAAGATGTCGAAAGTAATTAAGGCCTGAAAGCGAACTCATGAGATGTGACGGGGAAACCTCTGTGTTTTTATATACTTATCTATTTGTAGTTGTTTAATAAATGGCGAACTGTGATTCGAATGCCTTTTACTCTCTTTAATTAGCCTGAATTTGTTAAAAATTTGTTGTAGTACTTTGGCTCATGTCGTAAAAAGGTGTAATGATAAAAGGAAGCAAGCCAGAGTTGTTGAAAATGTTCTTGCCATAATTCAATATTGAGTCAATGATTGTGGGTGTGGTTAACAGGAGTATTTGTGGTTTGAAGTGAATTTATTCTATTATCATCCACCTTACTTTTGAAAACTGTGGATATCAGTCCCTCGCTTTATTCTAACCTTTATTGATGGCAACTTTGATCTTAGCCTTGCACACTGTTTTTCGGCATTTGTAAAATTCGATTTCCCCCTTGTCAAACATTATATCCTTACCATTTACTGGCTAGTCAATTGAGGTATAACAACTCTCTCAAGCATCTATTTGGGCAAATGATTGTTTCATATCTGCGTCAAACTCTTATAGCACATGCTATTTTTTAACCTTATCTGTTGGGAAATATCTCACCTAATTGAAATTCTTACGAAGTAGATAAGACGTGTCGCTTGGCTATCGAATTAGGTGTTGTTGAGTAACATAGGACATCGAGCTAGAGTATGCAGATTTGCTGAATTGTAGCAAGTTAAGCACTCGGGTCTATTTAAGAAATCGTTTATCAACACTTATATTGGGTAGAGAGATGGATGTGCAATAGACTTACCTCCACGTGGTGCACCCTGGGCAACGTATACTCATACGGCAAAAAAGTCTATTAACCGGCAGTTGACCTCTGACTTCAAACTAGCACGACCCCCCTGGTTGTCATATTCGACTACTTTCACAGTACTCACCTTACCCTTTTCTCTACCTTTGTGTCTGTCTGCCTCTTCTACAACTGTGAATCGCTCTTCTGTTCCCCACCCCTCGACTTTCTGCTACTTTGATGAACCTTCCCTCTGAGAACGCCTACCATTTGAAATAAATAAATAAATATTGGGTAGAGAGATGGGTGCGCGACAGACTTAACTCTACGTGGTGCAATATAGGTAACGTATATTCATACGGCGAAATAGTCAATAAACCAGCAGTTGACTTCTGACTTCAAACTACCATGAACCTATTGTATGTCGTATTCGACTACTTCCCACATTACTCAACTTACCCTTTTCTCTACCTCTGTGTCTGTCTGTCTCTTTTACATCCGTGATACACTCTTCTGTTCCTCCTCTCTACTTTTTGTGACTGATGTTCCTTCCCTTTGTGAAGCCCGAAGTCAACTAAATGGCTAATGATAACTATCCTTAAGCCTGCCATTTGGTATAAAGAAGTGTTGGGTAGAGAGTGACATCATGGAATTCTGGCATAATTTATTCTGCTCTCACTTCCAACCACAAGGTATCCATCGATGGTGGACCAAACCCTTCACCACTGAAATTTATTTTGCTTTCCCCTCTAATTAGTAAGCATGACAGACTGGGAACTTCATTGCGTTTCCTTCGCTCATTTAAGTTCAATCGATCAAAATTTTCCTCATTTTACATTATAATTAACTCCCCCCCCC